GAGTGACACACTGTGATACAGAGAGTAGCAAAGAGTGACAAAAGGTGATACAGAGAGTAGCAAAGAGTGGCACATGGGGATACAGAGAGTAGCAAAGAGTGACACAAGGTGATACAGAGAGTAGCAAAGAGTGACACAAGGTGATACAGAGAGTAGCAAATAGTGACACAAGGTGATACAGAGAGTAGCAAAGAGTGACACAAGGTGATACAGAGAGTAGCAAATAGTGACACAGGGTGATACAGAGTGGCAGAGTGACACAGTGTGACAGTGTGATGAAGAGGGAAATGGGGGGATGTTGATAAAGGGTGGAAAAAAGTGACAGGCTGAGTTTTGAAGCTTAATTCTGGACTTAGGTCAGCTCTGTTTGGGTTCTTGTCGCACTCATGATGTATTTATTTATTGTTTTGTGGAGAAACTGAGTTTGTGTTTTGCTCCTGTTTGTCTTACATTATTACCCCTAACTCACACAGTGAGGCTTGTTTATTACTCAGTTTATATTTATCTTTATTCTTTATCACTGGTTTATTAAACACTCACCCAAACATCTTGTTTGTTTAGTTTTTAAAACAATAAGTGCTTTTTAATCTCACAGATAGCACCTCATWTTTGAACAAAATGAGGTGGATTATCTGACATCATAAACGTAAAAGTGACACAGAGTGACTTGGAGAGACTTTGTGGAAGTGAGCTCAATGTGAACTTCTCCTTTTTTTGTTAAAAAATAAGGAAGGAAAATAAAATGGAGAGGACAGGAAGGGGGAGGTGTGTTGGGGGGTGGACGGGGGGAAACACGTTATTAATATTTATGAGTGGGGGTGGTGCAGTGCCTCTGTTTGCTTTGCCTGAAGGAAGCAGAAAACAAGAAGGGAGGAATATCAGCAGCTTGTGTGGGAAACATCTCAGAACAACAAAGAAATTAGAGAACAAAAACAGATCTCCAACACAGATGTTTTGAGCTAAAATATAGATTTACACCCAAACAGGCTGTTATCTTATAAAATCATGATGGTCTTCTGTTAAAACCTAAGTTTGGTCTCTGTCCTTCCCTCAGGTACATCGACCCCTCCGGCCTTCTCCTGGCACTGGTGGTACGTGGTGATGGCCATCGCCAGCATCGTGGCCCTCGCCGTGCTCGTGGCTGTTTTCGTGGCCAAGCGGCGCCGCAAAGAGACGCGCTTCGGGTGTGTATTGGTTCCAGACTTGACCCGGATCGTACGGTTCTGAGATGACGTCTTGTCGACGGGTTTTCAGGACTGACGGTTCGTTCTGTTTTCATCTGCAGAGAGGCGTTCGAGCCCATGATGGATCGAGGGGAGCTGGTGGTCCGGTACCGAGCTCGTCGCAGCTACAGCCGCAGGACCACAGAGGCAACATGTGAGTCTTTTCTGAAGCGTCACTGCAGCAGAACGTTGAGCTGCGTGTCTGAAYCTGCCTCTCACTTCAGAGGAAAACCGTTCCACGGAAAAGAAAACACTTCCTGTCGTCCGGAGCGACTGGATCTGTGACACATAATGACAGCTCTGTTCTCCACGTGCACAGACACAAAACACTTCCTCACTTAGTTTGATCAAAGTGACTTCAGCCCCTGCAGCTGGGATAACAGATCTGGAGCTGCYCTGATGAGATGTGCAACAAAAATATTTTGTTTTGTGGAGTTTCGCTCCGCGCATTGAGGCATAAATCAGTTTACATCTCCAGATAGAGGAGTCATTCAGCTGCCTGGTCCAGGTGGTCCAGGTGGAGCCATGACCTTCGTACACAAAGAGGTGCTTTGCAGKATGATTACAGACAGAAAAAAACAGAATCTGGTCTCAGATTTCAGACAACAGTCAAGTCCCGACTTTGTCCCCAGTGTGCTCGTGATGTTTGTGAAGTCTCATTTTGCCGGATCCACAAAAAACTGCAGAAAACAACAACTTTTCTGAAACTAAAATGAGCCAGAGGGAAAAGAAATAAGATGACATGTTTTCCAACTGAGCGATGGAATTTGTGAAAAAAACAACCCAGATTAGATAGATTTAGGCGGGATTTCCTCTGCTGATGTTGACCAGAAGTTCTCAGGACACAGTTGAGTCCTCAGGGTCCGGTCCTGTTGGAACGCGCCCGCGCATTTTTGTCCAGCATGTGGCAGATTGATGGTGGGGGTCTGTCTTGTCACATTCCGGCCCAGATGTGAAAACAGAGCTAAGGTCCTGCAAGACGTCCTCCAAGGTGCAGGACCTCCTTCTGGCACAAGACCAGGACTCAGTCTGACAAGACACGGTTTAGTTTTTGGTCCAGCTGTGGTCACTGGAAGCTGTCAATCACAGTCTGAGAAGTCTTTTAGAACATTATATTACTGTTATTACAGGTGGGTATTTAACAATCAGGTGTGAACACTATTGATCAGACCCCCCACCCCCACCGCCAGGTACCAGGTCTGGACAGGCACAAGACCCATCCCACCTCAGACCAGAGAAGCTGCTTTTTAAGACCTTCACATAGAAAACTGTCTTAGCTTGGCTACTTCTCTTTTTTTAAAGTTTATCTTCAAGCTTTTTAGTTTCAGTTCCAGCTTTACTTCTGACTCATTTAAAGAAAACATTTTCTCATGTTAAATACAGTTTGTTGTGAACGTGGAGTCTCTAGGAGGCAGAAAAGTTGAGTTTAGTCTCTGCTGGTGCTACAGAGATCTTCATATTCTGTTTGGGTCAGATTTTTCAGCCCGTTCAGTTTTCTCTATTTTCTGATGTTTTCTGGACTATTATGTCTGTTAATTTGTAACAGAACTTCGTCTGGACTTACCAACTACAGTTTGGTGGATGGATGTCTTATCTTGTTGACGTCTTTTAATTAATTTGTAAATTAAACGTAGTCGTAAACCCCTCTATCAAACCAGAATGAACCGAAGCTGGGGGGTGGGGGTTCTAAGTGCCTCATTTGGGTTTAAAGAGACAGCCTCAAAACCGTGGATCTGAGACACGCCCCCAAAAGGGGAGGGGCTTGTGGAGATACAATGAGGAGGAATTCAGACCAAAGCATTGCAGTTCCATTTTATATAGACCCAACTGAAGGATTTAAATGTGTCCTTGCTTTTTCCTTTCCTTTCCACCCTTAAACTAGAATGAARCAATCTGAGACACACCCCAGAAAAAGGGCGGGGCTTGTAGAGTTACAATAAGGAGGAATTCAGACCAAAGCGTTGAAGTTCCACTTTATAAAGGACTCCAAATGAATGATTTAAATGTGAAAAAGCAAGATTTGAAAGCATCATGTTAATTTAAAAGTATAAAACACGATAATGAGAACTTGTAGCTCCRTTTAAAAGTTATTAGTCAAGGTTTTATTGCTTTTTATTGAAGAAAAATAATTGAATTTCAGCCTCAGGCGGGATTATTTTTCTTCMGTTTCAGACTTATTGTTGTCTGCTTTGTGGTTTTGGAAAAGCAACAAGATTCACACAGTTTGTCTGTTTTTTAATTTCTTTTCTGTATTAATTAAAATGTTTTTAGCAGGATTTAACAATGTTTTCTGTTTTCAGTGAACAGCCTGGGCATCAGTGATGAGCTGAAACAGAAACTGCAGGACGTGATGGTGGACAGACACAAACTCACTCTGGGGAAAACTCTGGGAGAAGGTAAGGATTCGTTAAAATCACGATTTTTTTAATGATTCACCTGTGATTCTTCCGTCAGGTTTCGTCTCAAAGCCAAACAAAAAAGTTAAGTTTGATATTTCAAAAACTTTTAAGCTGTTTAGGACTAATGGTTCTGTACAAACACCCAAACTCTCATTAACTTCCAACAGATCTGAGATCAGATGATCTTTTTAACTTGTAATATCTAAAAATTAACGTGACAACCAGTTTTAGTTTATGGGTCTGATTTTAGCGCAGAGACAAAGACATCAAAGAAAACAGTTTTAATCAGAGCCAGCACTGGATCTGCAGTCGTTTAGTTTGTTTTTAATGTTTAATCCGAGGTTTTGATGTTTCATCTGCAACGTGTTTGTTTCCATCTCATCTTCAGGCGAGTTCGGCTCAGTGATGGAGGGGCTGCTGACTCAGGAAGAGTTCGTCCTCAAGGTCGCCGTGAAGACGATGAAAAGTGAGTGAGCAGTTAAACCGTCTCAGGAACACAAGCAGCTCCTGGGAATTTCACTCAGATGTTTTTAAGCTTTAACAGAGCTGTAATGTCAGCCTGAATGTGTTACCTGCTCAAACCCATCTCACCTGTAAACYTGTTCCAGTTGCCATCTGCACGCGGTCAGAGATGGAGGACTTCCTGCGTGAAGCTGCCTGCATGAAGGAGTTCGACCATCCCAACGTCATGAGGCTCCTGGGTGAGTCTGGTGTTTTCTCTACCTGCTGCATTCAAACTTTTACTTCCATTAAATCTGAGCTCAGACCTTTTCCTCCATCTTGGCTGTTACTTCCTGCCTAAAAGCAGYGTTTCCTCCCTGCAGGTGTGTGTCTGCAGACGGTGGAGAGCGAAGGGTACCCGTCACCTGTGGTCATCCTGCCCTACATGAAGCATGGGGACCTGCACAGCTACCTGCTGTACTCCAGGCTGGGAGACTGTCCCGTGGTGAGTCTGAGGCTTTGAGTCTGGAAGTTCACCCAGATGTCCTGTCAGCAGAACAGTCAGCACAGTAGAGGTTTTTTTTTTCTTTAAATCAGTCTCCAACCGCACCTTTTTCTGGCAGCGGTTTTCTTGTGAAATCATCAAAACGTGACGATTCTTTGTTGTGAGCTCAAACTCGTTAACGCATGAAGTGTTTTTCTGGAACCATGCTGAGCGAACGTTTGTTCCGAAACTCAAACTTTAATCAAAACAAGGCTGGGACTGAGTGGAGCTGAGACTGTTCCCACAGGAGGGGGAGGAGGAGGTGGTGGAGGCTCAGGGAAAGCTGGACTCTGGCGCCTCCTGGTGTCCAGGACTAACCTTGGGCTGTTCTCTCTGTCCTGCAGTACCTCCCGTCTCAGATGCTGGTGAAGTTCATGACTGACATTGCCAGGGGGATGGAGTACCTCAGCAACAAGAACTTCATCCACAGAGACCTGGCGGCTCGAAACTGCATGTGAGAACTTCAGCTGCTGCTTCAGCTTTTTGCTGTTTCGCTTCCTGTAGCCCGGCTGGAAGAGTGAAGTCAGCATTCAGCTGTTTTCCTCTTCAGTTCTTTTTTTTTTTTGTTTTCTGATATCTTCTGCACGCTTTGTGTTATTTTAGCACATTTATGTAATTTTTATATTTTTCATATTTTTAACTTTATTTACAAATATTTTCCTCAATTTTCTTCTTTTTCAAATTAGCTTCAGCTAATAGCTCTGTTTGTTTTCTGTGCAATGTTTAGCTTTTAGTTACCCCCCCCCCACCCTTTTAGCAACTGTTTCGGTACTTTTAGGTATTGTTTTTAAACTTTTAGCTCTTAGCTACTGCTCTGTTATATTTTTTTTGCTAGACTTATGTTATATGTTGAACCTTTAGGTTTAGGAACCTAGGTTTCTCTTTTTGCTACATTTATCTTTGAGCTAGTGCCTTGGTTTTTTATTTTATTTTAAGTTTTGTCGGCATCTTTCAGCTCGGAGCTAGTGCTTTTATTTTTAGCTTTTAGTTCCGTTTGACTGTATCAGTTTTCAGCTTTAGCAGATTTTAGCGCTCAGACTAGATTTTCGCAAAAACTTATGCAGGTTTCTTTAAAAATGCCTGAAATTATGTAAAAAATACAATTTCTTGCACCAATATCGCATCTACTTTTTGTATATTACTATAAACGCTTCATTTCCATGGACATAGTTTGGTAACCCTGTTTTTTCTCCCAGGTTGAATGAAAACATGAACGTCTGCGTGGCCGACTTCGGCCTCTCCAAGAAGATCTACAACGGGGACTACTACAGACAGGGCCGGATCTCCAAGATGCCCGTTAAATGGATCGCCATCGAAAGCTTAGCTGACAGGGTTTACACCACGAAGAGCGACGTGGTGAGTTTCCAGTCAAAACAGATTCAAATCGGAGCTTAGCTCGTTTGTTTTGTTCGGGGTCAACCGGAGGGAGGGTTTTAGGGTCCTGGTTTTCATTAGTTTTGTTCAGGGTCAACTGGAAGGAGGGTTTCAGGGTTCTGGTTTTTGTTAGTATCAGGGTCAACCGGAGGGAGGGTTTCAGGGTCCTGGTTTTCTGCTCGTGAGACTAAATGTCCTGTTTTGTCCTCAGTGGTCGTTTGGAGTCACCATGTGGGAAATCGCCACTCGAGGACAGACTCCTTACCCCGGCGTGGAGAACAGTGAGATTTATGATTATTTGAGACAAGGAAACCGTCTCAAACAGCCTCCAGACTGCCTGGACTCCATGTGAGTGTCCTCGTGTCTACAGTGTCCCACATCTCCTAAAGTTATTTTCTGAGTAGTGTCATGTAGAAACCAGCAACAGGTTCATAGTAGACCCTCATGTCTCATTCTGGTCCCATCTTTGTGGTCTGCAGCTACTCCTTGATGTTCTCCTGCTGGCTGCTGAGTCCAAAGGACCGTCCTTCCTTCGAGACCCTGCGCTGCGAGCTGGAAAAGGCCCTCGAGGACTTGCCGGATCCYCAGGAYGCAGACGAGATCCTTTACGTCAACATGGACGAGTCTCCCACGGAGCTCGGGGCCGTCGGCGGTCGAGACCCCACCAGAGGTCCTTCGCCCCTCTTCCTGAAGGGACTGGAGTCCGTGACCACGGCCGAGGTCCACCAGCCCAACCGCTACGTCCTCTGTCCGCAACACGAGACCAGCCGGACCCTCTGCGACTCCCTGGAGAGCTTGGACATGCCGGTGTCGTCCTCCACGGCCACGCTGCCCCTGCAGCCGTCTCGCCACGACACGCCAAACCCCACCCCGACCTCCGAGCTGATGGAGGACCGGGACGGGTCCAGGAAACTACCCTGGCAGTGAATTAATGAACTCTTAATGGAAATCACTGCCAGTGTGTGCTGTCCAAGTCCAGAAACAAGACCCAGAGTCCTGCAGAGTCCTGCGAGTGTTGCTACTGACTGCAAGAAACGCTGCGCCTCACCAAACATGTTTTTGCACAAATAATCTTCAAAGGAAGTTAAATTATCCCCTTTTTCGTAAACCCAACTTTTATATGATGAGCACATTTCCAAGTGAGTTGAGGGTTTTCAGAGTCCTGCAGGTAAATCAGACCTGTTCAGACCTGGTACTACAAGGTRTCTCAGGTGACTCGTTTTCAAATGAACAGCTCTGATGGTGTTCACACCTGGCAGGTAGTAATTCATATCACGTCAATTACCTGCTCATACTAAATATTAATACCTCAACTCTGATGCAGTTCAGAAACAGAGTCACGTTTTAATGAGATTATTWACTTATAAGAGTCCTGCAGCCCAATCCAATAGCTTAAATCTGTGCAGATAAAAGGCTTCAGATATGGGATAATTATATTTATATGATAATTTTATAGGTCCAACAATGAATAATTCTTAAAAAGATCTGTATTCTGTAATATTCCAACGCAATCTGACATCTGAGAGTGGATTTTTWATGCCAGGTGTGAACTAGGAGAGTAACAATACACCCATCTATATCGATCTGAACTGGTAATGATTCAATTATATCAAGGCAAAATGAAACTTTGACAGACTTTATGATATTGAGAATTATCGAAACATCATCCAAACATATTGATGTTATATCGTATCATGATAAAGCTGGTGATTTACACCCCTAGTGTGAACAGAACCTCAGTCTCTCAATGTTTTTTAGAGCTGGATTAAGCTCCAAAAACAATCCAGTTTCAGAACTGAAACCAGCTCTGACACTGCCACAGACTGAACCAATCCAACGGACCTCATTTTTTATCTTCAAACGTCTCCTTTAAGACTCGTTTTAGGATATATTTGTAAAATATTCAGACTTTTAAGAACACCAAAAGCATTATTTTTGTTATAAAGTTTATAAAATGATCTCAGTGTTACAAAACTTGTCTTGCAGTAAATCTGGGATATTTTCATCAACTTTACCTGCTGCTCCTTTCCAGGTCCCAGGGAGCTGGTGTCCAGGTGTCCCTGTGAGAGAGGCGGGGGACACCTGGACAGGTCCAGGTCCATGACAGGGACACAACGAGACAAACAATCACCCGTTCGTCTATAAACTATTTAGAGTTACTGACATAATAATAAAAAATAAAGGTACAGATAGAAAAACCCAACAAAAATAAAGAGAGCTTTTGTTTCAAGCACAGTGTTATTCCACATTATGAATTTTTATGCTGATTTTTTGTACAACTTTGCACTAATGTTTTTTTTCTATAATTGTTTATAAATGGTTTTTTGTGTTTGTTTTTTGGTAAAATTCTGCTGAAGCCCTTCATCGGAACGGTTCACACGACATTTTTCWGAAAACGCCAGAGAACGAGTGCTGAGAGGAAAACGCTGCAGGTTTTTGTCTGTAAATAAGCAGAGGTCGTTTGAACACTGAGGTGAAACCGTGGCTCTCCTCTCGTTCYGGGACCTCTGACACTAAATAAAATCCCGGCAGCGTCGAGGGAAACACGGCAGCTGAAACCAGAGTCGCCAGCTGTAACTTTGCAACACGCGTGCACTTATATTTTCCTGTATGTTTGTATATAAACGGCTGATTTTAGTTTTTTGGGAGCAGATAAAAGTGCTGTTTCTTTGTGAGCATCAAAGGTACACAGAAAACCATTTTCCATTCTGTTTACACGATGAGAATTACAGAAARTGGTGCTGAGATCAGAGTTTCACATCTTTACCAAGTGCCTTCAAAGAGCCAGTATTTTTACATTTAATGAACGTGTTTTTACTGTTTCTGGTGTTTTTATATTCTTTTTTAGGGAATATTGTACTATAACTGCCTTCTTATGGCCACAGCCGTAATTTGTAAACATTTTTATACAGTTTCTACAATATTTTCACAAAAGAAATAAAGAAAATTAAAYAGCGTCCTCTCTGAGATCGTTTTATTCATTTCAAACATCTGTGTGATGCGTTACAGCAGGTGAGTCGACCTGCACAGGTGAGTGAGGGGTCAGAAGTGGATGTAAGAGATCTGGACGTCTCCGTCGACCTCCAGCCAGTCGATGTCACTGAAGGAGGTCCGGTGGGAGAAGTCGAACAGGTGCAGCCCRTTCACAAACACCTTGAACCTCTGGTTCCCACAACGAATCGACATCTGAGAGACAAACCAGAGACTCACTGAAATACTGTGTACACATACTGATACGTACCTGCTACACACAGTACCTGATACTTAGTATGACAACCAGGATACAAATATTAAGTTAATGTAAGTAGAATGTGTGCTGACGCAACATTTATGTACCGGCTACTACATGCCAGGAGTGTAATCACCAAGTACCAGGTTAATATCCATACACGTAGTAGGTAAGTATTGGGTAAATACCAGCTGTAAAATTGAGGTCACCCCTAAAGGTACTGGGAAAAATAGGTACTAAAGTACAAAAGTACTAACAGCGTTCCCACGGGTCCTTAAAATCCTTGAAAGTTTGAAAAAAAATATTTAAAGGCCCTGGAAAATTTGTGAAAAAAGCCAAAAATTACACTTGTCCTTGAAAGTCCTTGAATGTCTTTTGGGGATTGAAATTCTCTGTTCACACGGCTGATTTCATCATCKTTAAAACAATAAATTATAAAATTAAATTTAAAAATACTTACATTTGTTGTGGTGGATAACAGGATCACAGTAAACTGACGTCACTGATTCTGACTCAACAACTTGTGTTGTTCAGTTTTTCATTGAATTTACAGGAAATTAAACCTGTTTATTGGTAAAACTCTGTGGTAGCAGCAGGTAACTGCTGCTGTGCTTGGTTCTTTAATTTGAGGAAACTGGTACTGGAAAGTCCTTGAAAGGTCCTTGAATTTGATGTTGACCAAGGTGTGGGAACCCTGTACTAAACAACATACTGTAGGTACTGGGGAGTATAGGTACTGAAGATAATGGGTACTAAAATACATAGGTACTGGGAAGTATAGGTAATAAAGAACAGTAGTACAGGGGAACATAGATACTAAAGAACACAGGTACTGGGAATAGGTACTAAAGAAGAACTCAGGTACTAAAGAACTGAAGTATTAGAGAACATAGATACTAAATAACATACTAGGAAGTATAGGTACTAAAGAACATAGGTACTAGAGAGTAAAGGTACAAAAGTACATGAATACTGGGAAGTATAGGTACTAAAGAACACAGGTACTAAAGAACATAGGTACTAGAGAATAAAGGTACTAAAGTACATGAATACTGGGAAGTTTAGGTACTAAAGAACATAAGTACTAAAGAACACAGGTACTAGAGAATAAAGGTATTAAAGTACATGAATACTGGGAAGTATAGGTACTAAAGAACACAGGTATTAAAGAACACAGGTACTAAAGAACACAGGCGCTAAAGAACACAGGCACTAAAGAACACAGGCGCTAAAGAACACAAGTACTAGAGAACACAGGTACTAGAGAACACAGATACTAAAGAACACAGGTACTAGAGAACACAGGTGCTAAAGAACACAGGTGCTAAAGAACACAGGTGCTAAAGAACACAGGTACTAGAGAACACAGGTGCTAAAGAACACAGGTGCTAAAGAACACAGGCGCTAAAGAACACAGGCGCTAAAGAACACAGGCGCTAAAGAACACAGGCACTAAAGAACACAGGCACTAAAGAACACAGG